TCATCTGTCGGCAGCTGGAGCCACCGGGTCCGAGGACTGTGGATGGCTGCCCCCGGCCACTTAGAGACGCGCCAGTACCTGCAGCTTCCCCCGACTCCCGACCTGCTTACAGCCGCCAGCCCCCTTCCTCCAGACAGACGGACGGGGGCTGCCTGGTTCCGTTTAAATCTCGACATCTTTCAAACTGATAACAGGTAAAATGGATGTGAACTTCAGCTTCCCAAATGCAAACTTTCCATCAAATGCCCATGAACAAGAAAAAGAACTCTCTGGATGGGCTGAGGAAGGCCAGAGTTAAATCCCCTACCGAGGGTCCCTAACTGCCCCGACTCCATGATCCTCCTCCCTGGACAGCAGCAAGAACACATGTGGGGCCCCATCCTCAGAGCCGTGGGCACTGCTGGGGAGGGGTTAGTTTCCTGATTAGCCTTCTGGGAACATCTTTTGAGTAAAATAAGAGCCTCTTTTTTTTTCTGTTTCACATGAAGCCAACTTATCACGTCCGAGTTCTTCTATCTGCAGCCTGAAATCACCAAAGTGAAGCATTTTCACATCAATTCAGCTGTGACATCCTGCCTGGGCCAGCCGCTGTGCTCCAGGCTGTGGCATGCCAACAGCCAAGGCAGGCACGCGGGCACCAAGAGACGGGAGCAGGAATGGCCACCAGGGGCGAGCACCCGCGAGGGCTGTGTACTGGTGTGCGTGAGATTCGCTGCTGCCAGGGGTCTGGGGCGCCTGCAGGAGTTTCACTGGGCACTGCCTCCGGGGGTCTGTAAACCTCACATGCTCCCACTGATAGTGCCACCACTTGGGCTTTTAAGCAGTCCCCTTTGCAGGCTTTTGTATTGTCACACTGCAGTTTGAAAGGAAATAAATTCTGAGATTAAAGAACAAAACACGATGAGTCTAATATAGGCGCACAGACACTGGACGTGCCTGGCCACTCGGAGGCGATTCTGGGTAAGTGAAACCCAGCCTGGAGGAAAACACACAGCAGGAGAAATTCCAGTTAGAAATGACGTCAGTCACCGGTGAGTGACCAAGCCACGCGAGGGCTGTTCGGGAACCACTCAGCTGGGTAAGGAGTGGACACAGATCAAAGCCCCAGTGAAGTCATCTATGAGGTGAGCCCACTCACATCCTGGGAAAAACGCCCTGCCTGCGGCCCCTGTTTCTAGAAGAGAAAGGCTGTGACCCCACTGGGCCCTACAACTCCCCGTGAAGGCCTGCCTCCAGGTTTCCCGACAGCGTCGAGCACACCAAGACTTCCCGTGTTTGTACGATTACAGATTTCCTTCTTCTGGCACAAAGGAGTAGATTCGCTAGGGCACCGCATCCCCACACAGCCACGCGACGCGGAGAGTGAGGGTGGGCTTGACACTTTTGCTCCTAATGGGGAAAAGGGGCCGGAGAACATGGTGACCCTCTGCAAAACTCAGTCTCCTGTGCGGCCACGGGCACTATTTCATTGTAAATGTGGCTCCGTGAAAACAAGTATTATTTCTGAATCTTTGTCTTGGGCCCTGGAATGGGAGAGTGCAGTGTGCTTGCTGGTCGAGCTGCTACACAGGGCCAGCTGTCACACGCTTGTGGGTCTCTGTGTCAGCGTTCAAAGGGCCACATGCCAGATGGACGTGGAAACCCGATCGGTGAGGCGGACCCAGGGAGGCCAAAGAACTCAGCTCTCTTGTTTCAACGTTTCTTTTTTTTGGAAAATATTTTTGTATTTCTTTGTGCCTTTCCTTTCCCTCCTGGCCTCCCGGGGCTGCGGCGGCTCGGGCGGTCTGCACTGGCCTCCCACGCCGGCCTCTGCAGAGCTTATCCTTGGAGTGGTGCACGGCCACGCCAGTGGGAAGCTCGGGGCATGCATCAAGCCTGTTCCGACAGGGCCCGGGAAGTCCCGGGACACAGAAAACAGGATGCAGTTTCATACTGCACAAGGGCATGCCCAAAGAGGTGGTGCCAGGCCTCTCGGAGATGCAGGGTCACCTCGGATGGCTTTGGCTGGTGAGTCCCTGGCCACATGTGGCTGAGCCTGCTGGGGGCTCAGCCCGTGATGGCTGTGTGCCTGGGGCTGTTTGGCCCAGGACCCTGGCTCAGAGCCGCTCAGGGGATCTGGAGATCACAGTGGGGGGCCCCATCATGTGGGGACCCACACTTCCCTGGACGAGGAGTCAGCCTGTGCGTAGCGCGTGTGGGTCGCGTGGGGCATCGGGAGCATCATGAGGGTCTGGCAGCAGGCTCAACGGCACTGTGTGCTCTGTGGGACAAGGAGCTGATGGGAGACTTCCACCCTGCCGCCTGCCTGCACAGCCATCCGTAAGCAGACGTGGTGGCTGGGGGTCTCTGAAGCGCAGCCCAGTGCACTGCTATGGTGCCCTCTATTGGAAAGCACTCAAAGTCCACGTCCAGGCCAACAAGTCTAGGAGCAGCTACGTTTAAGAACCACAGTTTTCTGTTCTGCTCAGGGCAGAGAAGAAAGGTGGTATGATGACCTTGGTGACCATCAGGGAGCCAAGCATTTTCCTTGGAAGTTAGAACACGACTGCCTCACAGCCCCCAAATGCAAAGTGTACCCCCCGACTGCCCCCCACAACTTCCCAACACATCAGACACAGAATCGGCCTCTCTGATCTCACACTGAGATGCCAAACAATGGTGCACGTAGGAACTACAGCGCGCAGGCGGCTTGAGAGCAGGAGGCAATGGGCAACGGTCACATCGCTTGGAGGGAAAAGGTCCAGAATTGATTTGGCTGATGTAAGAAAAGGAGATGGATTGTGAACTGGTGGGAAAAGCCTGAGGTTCACTCGCGTTAGGTCCCTATTCTTTTGTTGGTGTTAAGGTAAAACGAGATGTAAAACACACCCAAGCTGTGCTCATCATGAGGCTGTATTTTTATCCAGGCTTCTGGTGACACGCAAACCACTTGAGCTTCCCTTCTGTGGTTTGTACTGTCATAGGGACCCTTGACAAAAATACAGCTTTCTACTGTGCAGTTGGGTACAGTTTATTTTCTCCATATAGCACATGTTCTATTTTATTTATCCACATGCCTGCTACAAGTTTCCCTTACGCTTTTCAGATAGTTAATTATAAAGCTAAAGTGACATGATAACAAAGTACAGAGTGCAGTGCACGGCACATGTTGGAAATACTCCCCACTGCCATCAGTGACATAAGCTGACCCATGTCCATGTGTGACCTCTGACTTATAGGCTCAATTTTGGGGTGCCAGGAGGGAGAAATCTATGTCCCTCATCACCTTCTGTCCAGTGTGTGGCAGTCCAGGAATGGCAGGAGAGAAGCTAGGGCCTGGGGAGACCCCATACCTCAGAAGGGTGCCGTTTCAACCAAATTTGTTTTCCTAAATCATTTGGCAAGTGATTATTTCCTATTATCAATATGACCCCAAATGGGTGCATCAGCTTTTGTGGCACTTGGAAAAACGAAGGTAGAAAAGCACCCGTTTCCACGGCCTTCCACTTTTCTTCAGCCCAGCCTCCTTATCAGCCAAGAAAAAAAGGGGACGCCTCTGGGGCAAGGCAGCTTTTCAGGGGGACAAACCCAAAGCAGCCTGGGGTGGCCCTGCAGCTCTGGGGGTCAGGGCCTGGTGGGCTCCAGCTGGCTCCAGGGGCAGCCATGCACCCCCTGTGGGTGCCAGATGCGTCCTTCTTCCAGGGCAGTGGCCCTTGTACCTGCCGGCCTCCAGCCTGCTCATCCCTGTTCTAACAGACAAGTGCAACGTAGCAGCATGAGGGAAGGGAGCAGGCCACACACACACGGCCCGTCTCTGGAGCGCACCCTGCTGTAAAATGCAAGAACAAAAAGGAGCAGACACATGGCATCCCCCAGACATATCCAGCTAGTTTAATACAGCAGTGCACCCCCATTCCAATTCCCACTGCTGGGCATCGATGCATCACTCAAACACTCGCTCCTACTGCAAACACTCAATTTCGGCCAGCAGGCTGGGGGCTGGTGGTGCCCCCCAGGTCCCCGAGCCAGGCTCTGGCTGGATGAGAGTCCCCTCTGTGGGCCGGCCTCCCCACCGGGCTGCCTTCATGGGCCAGAAGCCACTCCTTTGCGTCCAGTCCTCCGGAGTAGTTGCCCAGGGCCCCGCTGCTGCAGACCACCCGATGGCACGGGATGAGGATGGGGACCTGGAAAACATGGACGCCATCGGTCTGGGCTCTGGAGAAACGAAGGCTTTTGGGGTCAGGAGCCAGGCTCTGTTCACAACTGGCCCAGGGCCCACCTAGTGAGGGCTCTGTCACCTGCGGGCTGTTGGCGAGGGCGGGCTGGGTGAAGCCCCAAGACAGCTCTGCCTCGAAGCTGCTTGCCCTCAGTCCCTGAGGGTCTCCGAGTGGGCTGGGGAGGGGCACAGTACCCCAAGGCCTTTTTTAGGGAATCCCTTTATACCAAGATTCAGAAGGAGAAAACCTACTTTCATCTGGTAAATCATTTATGATGTACACTTAACAAAATTTAAAATTATATCTCCAAGTTATGGGTGGTATGTCAATTCTCACATTTTGAGACGTAGCAGGGAAGCTCAGGGTGTCCTGCACTTGCACAGGCCACTGACTCATGGTCTGGCAGACGGGCTGTGGGCTGGTGCATCCCACACCAGCTTTGGTAAGTAAAGCCTTATTGGGACAGAGTGTCTGTAGCTGCTTTTGCAAACCCTAAAATATTCACTACCAGTCCTTTACGGAAAAGGCTACCCAGCCTATTTTACCTTGTGGCCCTGGCCGGCAGCTCGCTTCCCTGGTCTCTGGACACTCGGGAAGTGTAAGCAGCCCCAGCTCCTGTCTGTCCCACCTAAGAAGAAGCCTCTGTCCCTTGTGGACACCTGGGGTGGGCCGGCCAGACAGCTCTCCCACCCATCCCCCAGGACTCCAGACCTAGGCTGAGCCCATCCTTGCTTCTCTCATGGGGTGCTGGGACCCTCCCCTAGGACACCCCCCGCCGCCCCAAATAGCCTCTCACCTCTGGAGATAAACTGAGTAGTTAGGTGCCTTAATCACAGAGCTACTCTGCTAGAGTGAGGCTGCTTTCTGATAAAAACAAACCCAACACCATCCCAACAAGAGAAGCCAACTGGTGGTCCAAGGCCCTCACAGGGACCTGGCTCTCTGCACCCAGGGCCGTGCCAAGTGCTCCAGTCTGGCTCTGCAGCTCACCTGCTCTGCGAGTCCCAGAGGAGGGCAGGCTGCCCACAGCTGGCAGCACGAGGGCCCAGACCGCAGGCAGGTCTCGCCCCCGACACCGACGCCCTGGGACCGAGGGCCCAACGGAGCACCACCCGGGGTCCTGCTGGCTTCTGAGACCCGGGCAGCCCAGCCCTGCTGGAGGTCTAACTCTGGTGGGAATTCCTGGGAAACCTGCCGTGGCCACGCTGCCTCTCCACCTACTTTTTATCCTGACGAAGCTGATATCCTAACGTCCCTTATCCATTTCTCGGTCTGCTCAGACTACAAGAGGGAGAGAGGGATGTGGCTTGCAGTCTGTGTACCGCAGTGGGCAGGAGGCGCCACAGGCTGCTGCCCCCCCTCTTGGGCAGCCAGGGGACACGACCAAGAGCTCACCCAGAGCACCAGGGATGGCCACATGCCTGGGGCTGCCAAACATGAGTGGCATGCCTCATTCCCACCACAGGGACTTGGGGGGGTCAACGGCCACTTTGCTCGAAGACCCCAACAAGCAGTCCCTCAGAGGCTGAGGATACATGTCTCTGTAGGGCTCTGCAGGAGGGCATGTGCCCTGGGGCCCCAGCAGAGCTCAGCCTCCTCTGACAAGGGGGCTGCCCACGGACCCTGGGAGAGCAGCTGCCAGGGGGCATGGCCACAGGAGCTGGGGCAGCAGGCAGGAGGGGCCAGGGTGGGGAGGGGGCCAAGGATCCTCAGTGGACCCCACTTGGGGAGGGTACACAGGAGGCACCTGGGGACCACTCAGCATGCCGGCCCTCCCCACCCGGCATCCGCGCACCTGCTATCCCCCTGGCCCCTCACAAATGGTCACCTTGCCCCAGCTGTCCTGTGGCTCCCAGGCCTTGAAGGCTGGGCCTTTCCCAGGCCACCATGTGTGCGGCTGCAGCGCGTCTTCCCATCTCCCCCCACTCAGCTCGCAGCTCCACAGCGGGGTCCTCCCCTCAGCCCCCCCGACCTCCAGATGGACGGCTGGATGCGGACCAGCCGGGTGAGATCCCAGAGAGCGGCTGAGCCCGCGCCCGGACCTCCCCTCTGCTTCTAGGCGCCCCTGGCCACCCGTCTGTCTCGGCTGCCCGGAGTGTCCCTTTGTGAGCCCCAGGCTGCACCTGTCCAGCCTCGGTGCTCAGTGCCATTGGGGAGAGTGTGCTCTGCGCCCAACAGGGACACCATGGCATCATGCCCTCCAAGCTCCAGGCCGGGCACGCCGAACTTAGGCCCCAGTAAGTCTCTTGCCCAAGTTCACACAGCTATTTAGAGGCAACAAAGAGATTCCAAGCCAGCAGAAGCAGAGCCCAGTGTCCACGCTCCTTCCCACCCCGAGAACTGCTGGGGGCCTGGGGTGCTGGCCAGCCCCAGCAGGTAAGCTGGCTTGAGGGGCAGGAAGCTGACGGTCCCCCACATCACCAAGCAGTCCTGGTTTTGACTGGCAGTTGGGGTTGCCACGGTAACGTGTGTTCCCCAGTGACCAGCACAGAGATGGGGAGAGGGTGGACTCCCTCTGCTGCAGTTGGCTGGGATGAGAAGTAACGCCACGCCGCGCCCCGCACACAGCGCGGAGCTCCCAGCTTCCTGGGAGGGGTAACAGGAACACCCCGGGTGGGATGTTTCCTCTGATCGAGGTCATCGCCGGGGCAATACTCGCATCAACAACCGCTGTGAGGACACGATCAGATAATGCACAGGTCAAGTTTTTTGACTGATAAAGAGGCAGCCATTTAATTCAATTTAGTTTTACATACATTTAGGCACCACTTCAATTTTTCTATCTAACAGCAGATTTCATGAACGAACTTTGATTTTCTTCTCTCCTTCCAACAAGCTATGAAATTATGAAAGTGGGTGATACAAATTCTTTTCTGTGTGCCATCAGATAACAGGGCTGCTGCCATGGAATATCAATTTTAATGACAGCCATGACCAGTCTTAGTCTTGTGCACACAGTGATGGAGAACAGGTGGCTTACCAATTATGCACTGTTTTTACCACTGGAAATGGGGAACCCTGTTTCTGTTAGTGTTAATTTTGGTGGTGGGTTTCAGACTATTAAAATAATGAAACCTGCTAAAATTTATTGGGGCCCTAAGGACATTTCAAAGGATGCATGCCCTCTATGCCCTCTCCTTTAAAGTCTGTGCTGCATAAAACGTAATTTTTATCAATAACCAAGCAGCTCATAATATCACAGCTGCATTGAAATCTTCATGCTGTGAAATCTAATTCATCCAATACATGAACCCATCACTTACACAGACCCTTTCTCAAATGCTATAAAACTTCCAAACCCATAGATTTGTCTCCAACAAAAATAACACGAAGGGGCCTTTCAATCAATAATGGAATCCCTCTGATTCTGGTGCTGGCTGAATATTTTTTCCGACTTCGCCTTTGTTCTTGTGGGTAGCAGCCCACATGGGAAAGAGCTTGTTTTCACTTGCGGCCTCATCAATACCTAAATCCTGGTGAACAAGTGACACCGAGAAGCTGTAATCAATAGCTCCCTGTGCGTTTTTTCCTTCTGGTCAGATGGTTCAGCCCCACTGACAGCCCTGACACTTAGAACATGATGCTAAATCTTTATCAACAGCCATCTGGGTGACCCGCAGAACAAGGCTCGGGGGGTCATTAGCGCTCATGGCAATCTGTGAATAAACTAACTCCTCAGGAATGCGTTTGTTCAGAAAGAAGTGGGGCGACTCTCTGTGCAACATATTGATTGCCTCTGAACTGCGTTTAGCAAATTCTGTCTGAGGATGAGCACAAGGGTGCTTTGTGGGGAAGGGCCGCGAGGTGCCTCCCATCCGATCTCCCAGAACGTGGGCCTCCTCCATGCTGGGTGGGGGCCAGCACCTTCCAGAAGCCTGCCAGACCTTCCGAGTTGGGCTAATGAGTCCTTCGTGGAAAACTTTGGAAAAATCAAGAGCCCAGTGAAGACCATCGTTTACCCCAGGGGTGGGAGGAGAGCTCACACCAACTGCAAACACGGTGACACGGACCAGCATGTGTTCACATTGATGGCAAGTCACCAAGCCACCTATGGAATTAACGCGCAGTGAGCTTTGCGCTGTTCTGCAACATGCCAGGGCCATTTTTCACTCTCCTCCCTGAAACGCCCAATTGTTCTCTCCAGACTGAACAGAGAAATGTCTTCAGTGAGTAAGACTCAGTGGTGCGCCATCAGTGCCGGAGCCCACTGGTTCTGTGGCAGGACCCCTGTGTCCAACACCGGGCACGGGGGCACCCGTGAGGGATGACAAAGCCAGTTGTGGTCCAGCCCACGACCAGGAACCCCTTCTCCCCCAGGGTCCTGGCTCACCTGTTCTCTCGACCCACTTTGTGGGGATCCTCTGAGGTACGTGCAGCGCCCAGCTACAGAGGGACGTCCATGGAAGGCCACGGAGGGCTCGCGGCCACCAGGCTGCCTCAGCACGGGAAGAGGGGCACGCACCCACACAGCCCTTTTGCCGAGCGGGTCTCACTGCCGCTCTTGACTTTGGCAGGTGACAGTGATGTCAATACATGGACTTTATGGAATTAGAGCTTTAAGCCCTGCGAGATCCTATTTTATAAATTTCAGTGACTGAGGCCATGTTTGAACAGAGGTGCTCATAGAGATTAATGGCAGGAGAAGACAGTCATGCTGGTCGCAGAACAGTAAATGTTTCCGAATATTGCCACAAGCACGGTGGCTGGGCAGCGATGGCATCCCCACTGCAGAGTGAGGACGAGTGGGTGTCACGGAGGCAGGTGAGGGGCTGCACACCTGCACAGGGTGGTTAGCGGGGCTCTCCCCGCAGGACCGGGGCTGCTGCACAGCATGTGCGCATGCAGAGGAGCCCGAGCTTGCGAGGGGAAAGGAACTCCCTCCCCAACCCAGAGGGCATGAGCAACAGGGGCCTGGCCTGCAGTGGGGATGAACCAGGGACAAAACGACAGTCTTCAGAGAACATGTGAATGTGGGAGGACGGGGGGCAATCCACGAGAGCATCAGCGCGCTCCTCACGCGGCATCACATGGGGCTGTGTCTTCGTCTCGTGCCCAGCTGACCTGCTCAGAATGGAGTCACAGCCTAGGACAGGGCGGCCTTCCAGAGGAAGACAAAGCTGGTGTTTTATTAGGAAACATAAAAAATCACATCCAGAAACTTGGAGAATCATGCTGCACGTGGCTTAGTGCGCCTGCACCGTGCAGCACGCTGCGGTGGTGTGGCGGGCACGGTGCGTCAGAGCAAAACAGGTGCCACTTGAGATGCCAACGGGCCACCAGCCATCGTCACCGAGAACTCAGGACATGCAAGGCGGGGGTGATGTGTCGCCCACTGCTCCTGCAATTCGTGATATTTCACTACGGCAGAAAACCCTTCTCCAGACTCGAGCACAGTAAGATGGTGGGATCCGCTACAAACCTACAGGAGCTGCTTCTTGAAGAAAGACAATGCAGCTTTGTTCACAAGGCTACGTCACGGCCAGCTCCCAGAGACGCCGGGCTCTGCTCTCGGGCTGCCGGAGCGACTGGCAGGAGCAGCCGACTGTGGCAAGTGGCTATGCTCCCCGGTGAGCAGGGATGGAAACAGTTTTGAAAACATCGGTAAAGGCATGACAACTGCTTAAAAAGTGGGGCCTGAGTCAGTGCCTTCCCATCCCACAGTGGGGGAATCCTATTTGCTCTCCCCAGGAGGCTGGCACTCTTCTCTCAGACCAGAGACTTCTCGTGGCTTTGGGGAGAAGCCATTCCTGATGCGAGAGCAGGCCATCGGCGGGCACTGGAGGGGCGAACGAGAACGGGCCCATTCCAGGGGCCTCCCGGCAGCTGGGCGCCCCTCCTGCCCTCATGCAGGGGCCACAGTTGGGCATGGCCTTGGCCCACGTCACAGCCTCTCCCCCCGCTTGTGCTGACTTCCTTCCTGAGACCCGGAGGCTTGCAGCTGTGTGTGTGTGTGACCATGGAGCGAAGGTGCCCCTGTCTTCCTGGGACCACAGGCACGAAGCCCCCGCACGGTGGCCCAGCCCTGCCCTTTGGGGAGCATGGCTTCATGTGGTTTGCGAGCGCTGTTCTCAGCCAGGCCTGCCTACAGACACACATGAGGGACAAGGACAGGAGGGAGCCTGCGGCTGGAGCCACACCTGGGGACACAGGCCTGGACGCGATGAACTATCCCTGGCCCCGAGGTGAGCTCAGGTGACAGGTCTCAGCGCTAACACACAGGCCTGGGGGGGAAGGACCTTGGGCCGGAGCCTGGCTCCCAGGAGACGGGCTGCGTCTGGGGCCCTCTGAGACCTAAGCTGCTGGGTGGGTCTTTTGGCCTGTTGTTCCCACTGTACCCCCGGCCCCGAGAAGCGTGGCTGGCCTACACCAGGCCCCTGGCACCCCAGGGGCTGTGCCAATGAGCCAGTGTGCACCCACCGCTGCTCTAGGTCCATCCCCCTCTGTGCTCCTTGTGAAAAGGGGCTCCTGTGGCTCTGACGTGCATGGGGAGGTGGTGCCTTTCAGTGGTGTGTGGGAAAGCTTCCTTACTCCCTTTCCAAAAACAGGGGTACACAGCCCTACGGTGCCACCTGCACCTCTTCCAGGGCCCCCATCACCACCGCTGCCTCACCTCCCACCTGGCGCACTTGGGCTGCCTTGGGAAGTCGCTTAAGTCCAATGGCCCGGGGCCCACCACCGCCAGCAGCCAGGCTGCTGCCCTCATCCCCGAACTCACAGGATTGCTCCTCATTGCTCCTCCCACTGCCCGCGCTGCCTTGGGGCTGCCTGCCAGGGCTGCTAATTGCTGGTAAGAAACCGTTTCTCCGAATTTCACGACCTTCAGCAGCTTCCATAACACCTGCCTGGTGAATGAGTCTGAAAGGAAGAATTCAGAATGACGTTATTTGGACAAATGGCTCCAACAGCTTGGATACAAGGAGCCGCCAGTCCCCAAAGAGAAAACGCATCAACAGAAATAGGTGTTACACTCGATTAAAACACAGCCTGCACACATCGTTCCTGCCGTCCCGCCGCCTGGAGGAACAGGAGGCCCTTCCCAGGCACACCCCCCGGGGCCGCCACTTCCTCCGGTCTCCCCCGCCTTCCCCACAGGACTGCGTGGTGCTCCCGGTGCGCAGGCGTGCACACTGAGCAGGCAGCTCAATCGACAGGCACAGAAGGCCCTGCCTGCCCACTGACTTCACAGCCTTTAGCACTGCTGGGTTGTTTCCAACTTCAGTTGGGACACAGGAAAACGCAGCCCCAGGTTGGGCTGGGGTAAATGCTAGCTGTCCACAGCCAGCAGTGAGCAGGCTCAGAATGCCAAACACCCCGGCTCGGGGGTGGGGGGTTGGGGGGGTACCGGTGGTGATCTTGGCTCCTGGCATCTGTAACAAACAGGGCTGCAGAAACAAAATAACTTTATAGTTAACTGGCTATCCACATCCAGTTGCATTAGCTCTTCAGCCTGCTGCAGGGATGGACGGGTGAGGGCAGGGGAACATTCTCTCCCCGCCTCCGCGTTTTACAGCCATTTCCTGGGTGTGGAGTTGGCGGGAGGTAAGCCTGGCACAGGAAGGAGCCGGTCTGAATCAATACCTATCGTCTTTCCAAAGGGCTCACAGGGCTCAGGAGCTCTGGACAGAGAGCTGCGTCTCCACGTCGGGGGGCCCTGGGCCTCGGCGCAGGGTTTCCTGGTGGCAACAAAGGGAAGGCTTCCAAGGGCAGGGGTGGGTTCTGCAGTGTGTCTGTGATGGCACTACTTACACAGGGTGCCAGGCTGGCAAAGTGCAATTGAGTTCTTAAAGGAAACACCAGCCTTACATGTGTGTTAAATAATAAAAATCACTTCTTAACTGAAGGGAATGGTAATCACTTCACTGGAAAAAAAATCTGTTTAGTCTTTATTATAACATTAAGCAAATTAAACATCAGCATAATCCAGGTGATACTAGAGAAGGGTCATCGAAGAAATTAACTTTGTTGTTCATTAATTTACATGGATTAGTCGAGGGCAAAAAGATAGCAAATGTGCTCTAGTTTCTTATGATATAATTTCAAACTGTACACCATTTGTGGCAGGAGGGTGACTTTGGGGTTAATCAGACTGATTTGTCCTTTAATTGCTTTCTATTCAAAGAAAATTCATTAGATAATGTTCTCTTCAAAATTCATGAATCAATTTAACTGAAGAAACCACATTAACAGCTTTGAGTTCATTAACACATGCAGTTGTGTTCTTGGCTGATGGCTGGGAGGGTGTCCTTAGGCAAACAGACTGTTTACTGGGATTTCTTTAGAAACGGTTTTGAAATCAAACTGTTAATCACTATTATTGTTGCTGCTCTTATGACTAACTCAAAAAAAAAGAAAAAAGAAAAAAAAAGGAAACTAAAGGAAATCGAGGTGGGCTGGTGATAACTTGGAGAAGGAGACCCAGGGACAGCGATGGTGGAAGAGACAATACAAGCTGCAGGGCGATGCTGCAGGACACGGAGGCTGGTTTCCCGCCTTCCTCCGGGAGCACAGAGTTGTGGGCTTTTGTTTTCTGTGTTTTGACCCAGAGAGAGGATGCTGCCCGGGTTTCCCAGAACCGCCTAGAACATCCCTAAGCCTGGAGAGACAATGAGCGGAGCGTGTGCACGCTTAACTGGAGCTCAGAAGTCCAGAGCAAGCGTGGCACCGTGCCAGCGCCGTGAGCCGAGCGCCAGCCTTGGGACTGCTCTGACGAATGACTGCCAAATTACTGAGCACCTTTCTTTCCAAGTGTAAAAGTATTGTATAATAAAACAATTATACATCCATATATGAGAACAGAGTTTATCCAACATTTTCAGCTTCACTGTCAGTTTTTCATGGGAAACCATTTCTTACCTGGTGCATACTAGGCAATATACGAGGAAAAATAGCTCAAAGAATGCAGTATTTAGCAACCAAGCACATCGTTTTATATATGTATCTGGGAGCTCCATTTCGCCTTGTAGGGAGCAAATGCATTAATTAGCTTAAGTGGCTCTCGGAGACGGAGCCCTTGACACTAACCTGTGAGGAGGCAGAAGTAGGAAAGCGCTCTCGTTCTGAGGAGGGGCTGACACTTTCAGTTGTTAAATATCATTCTAAAATGTACCAAAACCTGCTCATAAAAATTAATATACCTCGATGTGACAAATGTATTTTCTAGACGCTGGGATGACCACATAAGCCTAGTGGCTGACCCAGCATTCCAGGTGGCCGGAGGGGCAGCCCTGAGAACGGCACCCCTCTCCCCCTTAGGGGTCCTCCCCGAAGAGCCAGCTGCAACCCCAGGGCTGTGCGGAGGCCAGTCCCGGATGGTCCTTCCCTTCACCCTGTCCTCACCCTCTCTCTGCTCTGCGGCTGGCCACGGGCTGGGATTACACCGCAGGGCCCATGTGGCTCTGCCGGACGCCAACCTGCTTCTCAGCGCCCCTGCGTTGGAAGGATGTGGCCCTTTCCACTTCAGCGTGGGGGGTTCGAACACATCCACCATAACCACCGAAATCCTCCACCAGGGCCATCCGTCACCAGCCTCCTGCAGTTTTCCAACATGGGCAGTGAGGGGATGTTGTTCCGTGTCACAGACACCAGGGTTTTATGTGAGCTGTGCTCACGCTTGTGTGGGAATGGGATCAGGGCAGCCTGTCTCTGTGGACTTGCTTGCTTGCACCATGCCCATGGGGGCACCCATGCAGTCACACCCCAGAGCAGGGCCGGAGCACCCAGCCAGGGGCTGAGGCACACCCAGCACGAGTCACTTCCTTCCCCCGGGCCTCTGACTCCTCCCCAGTGATAAACCCCAACCCAAGAGCTCGCTGCACAAACACTTCCTGCACCTGCCACAGGCTTGCAGCACATCTTGCCAACAGCAGGGCAGTGGAGCCGGTTCTGAGACCAGAGCTCAGACCCAACGCCTCTTCCCCAGGGAGGGAGCACCACACCTCCACGTTCTTGGGTTGGAGTCACTCTCCTGGGATGACCTGTGCTGTGGGGCACCGTGTTCTAGGAAGGGCTGTCCCTTGGCTGCCCAGGGCTGCCCTCTGCACTGCCAGGCTGCAGAGAGGGCCATGCTCCGGCGCTCCTGGAGCCCAAGAGCCCAGCTGTCCTCTGGGCCCTGCCAAGGGGGTGTCTTGCTTCCCGTCTTGGGGTTGGGAAGGGTGCTGCCAGCAAAGACTTCACTGGCCCCATCCCTGGGCACAGAGGGTAGTGCCCGAGCTCCTGCAGGCTTTCCCCTGCCATAGCACCAAATTCCTGGTACTCCTGGCACGCGTCACAGCCACCTGACAGTTTCCAGCTTCCCAAGGGCTTCTTCCTTCTGGGACTTGCCTGTTGACCTGGGAGGTTTCTCATCTGGGGGATCTAGAGGCAAGTGTTGACACTGTGTCAAAGGCCAGCAGAGCTAACCTGACCATTAAAGCAGCCAGGATACACTTCCCATGAGCGAGCCTGGGAGAAAAAAACCCCAACTTGGAAGGAAAGGGCTCCTGGTTCCAGGTAAAGTTGGCACACTCCACCCAGTTTCCTACTGAATGCCTTAACAAAGCCCGGGCAGAATGCCGACAGCTATTTGAGGGCTGCAGGAAGTAAATCATAGGCATCCTGGAGAGGGAGACAAGAATCTGAGGAGATGCTGCACTGATGCATGAGTGCTACCCCCCACCCCCCAATCCCCAGCCCGGACTTCCTGCAGCCTGGACCCGGGAGGCACCGCTGGTGCAAACACAGCACCTGGCGGCTCTCACCCACCTGGGGGGGAAGGAGAGCCTTCCGATGCTCACAGCGTGCAGGGATCAACCCTCTGGCATCACCTCTGAGCCCTGATGCCCCAGCCCCCAAACAGTCCTGAGGGGTGGGGGTGGCAGTGGGGGGGGGGAGGCACAGAAACCTCAATCTCTTTCTGACGGGAAGGGCTGTGGTCCCCAGCGGTGGGCAGACCTGGCTGTTTTTTGCTGTCTCCTCACTGCTCAGCCCCAGATGCAGGTGCAGTCACAGAAGTCTGTGAATAGTGGGGTACAGAAACCCAAATTTATGGCAGGAGGCCCTAAAAGGGGTCCCCGACACCTGGAAAGTACCAGGGAAATTGTGGAGAAAGAGGAGTTTGGGAAAGCACACCACCCAGTTGCTTATATGTGCCTGTACTCACTGCGGAGCTGAGCACGTGTGGCTCTGACCCTGAACTGAAGACCTTGAGAAATGGCATAAAGGTTACTGGGGCCACTGCCAGCTCCCAGACCAGCCACTGAGTGATGCACAGGAGGGCAGATCTGAAAAGGACCGTGGAGGCTGAAAAAAAATGGGATGAACACTGAAACTACCACCTGCGGAAGCCTGGCCACACTTACGGCTGAATTCAGCCAAGTCAAGTGTCTCAAACAAAAATGTTACTGTTATCCACTGATGTATACAGACTGGGTCTCAGAACGTCGTATTCAAAAGGATCAGGATACAATCGAAAAATTGCCCAGCATTCGAAGAATCAGGGAAACTTCATCTCACCTGGGGTAAGATCGTCAACAAATGCCAAGGCACACTTGGCACAGAAATTGGGATCACCTGACAACTTTTCCCTCCAGCTTTTGGGGTATAACCAAAAAACAGCATTTTAAGATACGTAAGTGTAAACATGATGATTTGATATGTGTCATCTGGCTTTTTTTTAGGTATCACTGATATACAATCTTACAAAGGTTTCACATGAGCAACATTGTGGTTACTACAGTCACCCAGATTATCAAGTCCCCCCACACCCCACTGCAGTCACTGTCCGTCAGTGTAAGATGCCACAGAGTCACTATTTGTCTCTACTAGTCTTCTCCAGGCTGTACTGCCTTCCCTGTGACCCCCCTATATTGTGTGTGTTA